ATGAAGTTCAGTGTAGAGAAAGGAGGGTGAGACAACAACTTAGTAAACAACTGTCTGGAACTCTATGTTGCTCAACTCTGATCTAAATCAAATTAGTATTATGATATTTCATCTCTTGTCTGTTTTTGTTTCATTTGATTTCTATGTGATCATCCTAAGAGATGTCTTGTTTGTTTTCTTATTTGATTTCTTTGTCTTTGTGCGTTTGTCAACTCTCACGGTTATGTTTCTCTAGACTATAAGAACCTCCCTGAGTCACCAGATGCTTCGTACATTATCTGTTTGAAGCTTCATCATCTGATACACAAGCTAACTTAGACGTGCTTGTGCATCCTGGTTGACTCATAGGTTAGTTTCTATTTTGTGTTATGTTCTTCTCTAGTCATGATTTCTTCTTTGTTTGTTGTCTTTGTGTGTTAAAGAAATACATTATCTGTTTGAAGCTTCATCATCTGATACACAAGCTAACTTAGACGTGCTTGTGCATCCTGGTTGACTCATACTCTAAACACTCAAAAGACCAATACTTCATGGTCAATCATTCCACATTGGCGGCTCATTCTCCACCCAGAGTAAGTCTCACACAGAGGTCATGTTTTTAACAAATGGTGCTGATACAGCAACTGATTCCTCAATAGGTCAAATGCTCCTTTGATTCCTCCCTCTAAAGAGGTTTTAACATTGTCAGCATAGGTATGGGATTGAGGTTCTCACTTGCAGTGTCTTGAGAGGTGCGGCTTCACAAGGCTTATGGCTCTCACCACTGTGATTGAATGGTGAGAGAAGACATCTCCTCTTTTGAACTCTTTGTTCTTGCCCCATGAGGATAGGCCTGGGACATACATGCCTTTTCCCCTACCTTTTTCTCCTGTGGCTACCCCCACACCCCTGCATGTAGTACTGGACAAACTGTTTCTTGGTATCAACTATTTTGTGTGGATTACAATTGATTGTTAAGAGGGATACTCTCTCCTTGACCATAGTTGATATTGTATATGTTCTGAAACATATGCCACAGAAGTGTATGCCTGGTTAGCCCTGACCTATGATTCTGAAGATATTTTATTCTAAAGCTTGTATGATTTTGGATTTCAGTATGGCTATATCTTGCACATCAAGGGATCTTTTGCTAGATTCAATTAATTCAATCAAACATTCATGAAGATGAAGAAATACAAAAAATCATTCAAGCATCTTTATACAAACAAATTTCAGTTCATAGAGGACACTTCTCTAAGTCCTGAAGAAAACACAAGAAATACTTCATTCATTTAAGAAATGATCTATAGTTCTGCTCAAAAACAGTTGTATAAGGTGTGAGGTGAAGTTTGCTTTGGTGACCAAAACTAGTGTTGTGTCATGGTGTGGCAGGTGTTGTTGGAAAGTTTTACACATAATATAACAGAAGTGATCAGGGGGAGATAGAACAATGATGATGTACTAGTCTTGAGTGCATCAAGTCAAAGGGTTAGCCATTGAGATCATACATCCTCAATCTGCTTTACAATTGGCAAGGGAACATCAAAGGAATGTTCATAAAATGCTAAGGAAGGTGAATGGACAGATCAAATTAAATATGAGGAAGAGGATTTGAAGAGCAAATGTTGAAATCAAATCAAGTTGAGTTTAGAGTGAGAGTGAGAAAATGAATCAAAATGAACAGCTGATACTTTTTCTGTCCTTGATACTTGTTAATCATTAGTTCATCATTCACACCATAATGTGACAAAATTTTGACATTATCATTGTTTGGTTGTGGAATTCATGTTTTAATTTATTGCCATTGGATTACAGAGCCTCATGATGACAATTCTCCAAATTTTAATGTGTACATATATATCTGAACTACAGTGTGATGAGCAGGGGGAAGAAGGAGGTGTAAACCAAAACTTGGAACTCATTGCAATCAACTGTAACACATCAGATCATCCATCATGTTGTGGTTGGCCGTAGCCAACACCCACCGTATTGAACCGTTTTGGGTGGTGACCATAGCCATAAACATGCTTTGGTACAGTTGGATTTACAACTAACCTCCATGTAGCCTAAATTGATCCAAGGTATACATCTTCTTGAATATGCAAGAATATGCTACATAGTTTCTTTCAATGGAAATCCCAGTCTGAATTGGATGACTTACACCTTTGAGCTAAGGAGAATTCAAGTTATCAATTTCTCTTTGGATTTCCATAGGCTCCAATGACTTTTCCATTGAAAAAATTGATCTCAGAAAAACAAAGTTGTCCAAAAGTTCCTGAGCTCAAGTTGCCCAATCTTTTTTGTGTTCAAAGGTTTTTCCTCAAGTTCAATCAGCTTTCTCTTCTGTTGCAAAACATATTAGGCATCTTGTTTGGACATATAAATCCAAATCAAAGTATTTTTGTTTGGTTACATTGTAGTCCAGCGGTGAAACAGACAAATGTTTCTTTCATCCACTTCTACATCTGCATCATTTTTACAGTTGGTGACAAAACGTTTACGTACCTGTAGCAGAACTCACCCATTTGGCAACTCTCAAACAAGCTTATTCAGCTCTCAATCTCACTATTCATGTACCTGAAAGTAGATGGTCTGGATGGCCACTAATCAGAGTACATATGAATGAATTTCAGGATTCACAAATGTGATGTAGACTCTATAATACAATGACTTTTACCAGCAAGTGTGTCCACCCTTTGCTTTGAGCACAGCCTTGATTTGGTCAGGCATGGACTCGACTAAAGCTTGAAACTTGCTCTGAGGGATTGATTTCCACTTGGTAAACAGTGCTTCACGCATTTCTTGAATCATTCTGGGTTGGTGCTTTTGAAAGACATTTTTTTTTCATGATGTTCCAAATTTTCTCGATTGGGTTAAGGTCTGGACTATTTGCAGGCCATTCTAACTCACCCAATTGAATGTTCATCCCTCCATTGTTTTGCCACTTTGCTTGTGTGTACCGGGGCTCCATCCTCCATCAAGATGAGGTTGGGTGAACAGTTAGGTGAGGTGACAACTGGTTTGATAATCCAGCAATACACCAAATCAACAAAGTCGGCTCCAGTTTGACATCTGACCGGCATGACTATCATTGGTAAGCGAAGTTCAAGTGTGAACGCCCCCCATATCATTACTGAAGTCCTTCCACTCTTGAAACTTGGGGCCAAAAAGTCTTTGTTGTATTTTTCACCCGGTTTGCGCCACACCTGAACCTTCTTCACAGACTTTCCAATTTTGAATGATGATTCATCGGTCCAAATGACCTTCTTCCAATCGTTGTAAGTCCAATCCTTGTGTTTTCTAGCAAACTCAAGACACCTCAGAATGTGTTTACTCTGGAGATAAGGCATATCTACAGCAACTCAAGAGTGAAAGCCAAGTAGCCGGATCTCTGATCAAACTGTTGATATACTGGCTTTTATGGGTAGCTTGCTAGCGATATAGGCAGCTGAAGCGTGTTGGTTTTGTTGAATCACCCAGTTCAAGGTTTGCTGATCACATTCCGAGAACTTTTTTGGTCGTCCGAGCGTTTTTGAGATGGTTGATTTGCATCTTTTGCAGTCATTGTAGATCACTGTGTAGACAGTCGACTTGGGATTCAGGATGAGCCCCGAGACCAGCCAAATCAGGGATCCCCGGGGTCCTCCCCGGCGGAACAGGAGGTCGTTCTGGCCTTCAAAGGGTCCCGCGCTGCGGGATAGTTGATCCCGGGGGTTGTTCTGAGAGGCCAAAAAAAGGGATTTTCCTTGGAGAACCCAAGGAAAAAGGCCTTTTGTTAGAGGCAGCAAAGCCTGCAAATTAAGGCAGGAAAGTCAAAAAATAAATGACTCAAACAGCGGGGATGTGTGTAAAAGTATGTACAAACATTACAGATACCATTGGACAGGGAAATTGAAGTCAAGTCTTGACTCAAGACTTGACGGCACGCTCATGGCTCAGCAAGCTTTCCCAGAAATTGCCGGGGAATTGGGGATCCCCGGTAATTCCCCATAACCCGGCAATTCCCGTCAGGGGTCTGGGTCTGGGTCTGGGAGTTGTTCTGGACCTCAGAGGAAACAAATGCTTGGGGAACAGCGAGGTCGGTCGCCGTTCTGACTTTCAAAAAGAAGTTGGGGGGCCGGGCAGCTCAATCCCTGGCATTCGGGGGTCGGAGCTCATCCTGACCTGGGATGGCCAAGTCTCTTGGCAATTTGAGTGCCAGGAATCCCAAATTTGTGCATATAGATGATAGATTTCTTTTGAGTGGGGGAAAGGGTGCAAGTCTTCATTTTCGGAGACAATATGGATGAGGTATGGAGGAGTTCTTCAGGAAACAAAGTACCCATTGACTGGGCTACACTAATACATATGTAGTCAAGGTACGTAAACGTTTTGTCACCGACTGTACATGATGAAACTTCAGTCTAGAACAACTTGTGGCATTTTGGTTTCCATTCAATCCCCCATTGATTGATTGATATATAGATCCAAAAGGGACAGCTATGGAGCTCATATTTGCATATTCATGAAAAACTATATACATCTCCAACAAGGCTTGTTTGACAGAAACTTGAGATATGAACCAACCATTTTGATTTCTTGTGTCCCACCAGGAAGAGATAACAATGGCACTGGTAGAGTTGTGCTTAGGATTGAATTTGATGAAGCTCACATATTGGTTGTTCACATTCAAATCAAAATGAAAAGCAGGAGAAGGCAAGCAATCAAACTCAGATAGTCTCACAGCTTGTACCATATTATTTAACATTTCATGGATTGGAAGATGGTAACATCATCTAGTGCAATTTTGAAAATCATTGTGTGCATTTGCTTGACTTTGTTATAGCTTAGGGAAAGTATGTGTGCAAGGTGGGACAGGGTAAATTGAACCTTGACAACTCAGCACAAAAATGATGTATCTCCTGCCTCCCAATCAATGGACAACAAAATGATTGCTTTGAACAAAGATTGGATAACTTATTGCACAATGATAATGAATTTTTTCTACATCCACTTTCACACCTCCATGTTGTGGTAGAATTTCAAGAATCCGCGCGGTAGTGATAGGGGCAAAGGACTCCAAGTCTTGCACATACTGGACATCCTTCTGGCTGAGCTTGGCCGGCGTCAATGGGTTTGACCAAAGACTCATCAGCTGATATGATTGCTTCTTTGCTCTTGACACTGTGAGTCATTGAACCAAAGACTTGATTCAATGATACAAATGCCATGAAGATTGCTGCAAAAATGCTGAGTTTCATGATGATTTCTGTTTTGGTGACAAAATTTTAGATATAAAAAACTGTGAAGAAGATTTGGTTGGATAGTTCAAGACTCACTGGGATGCTAAAGCCACAGAATTTGATTGGGTTTGAGTGAAAAGCAATAGTATCAAGGCCAATCAAAAGGGTAAAGTAAGAGACCAGAAAGTATGAGCTTGGTTCATGTTTTTAAAGAAATTCTACAATTGGCTGATGATAATTGTTGGGAAACATACCTAGGCAAGTGTGCAGGTTAGACAAACAATCCAGTAGGATGATTGGATAGGGAACAAATCATCAGCAAAATAGTTGACCTTTTATATTTGTTGATGACTGCCTGATTTGCTGACTGTTGGACTCTTCCTGATAATTGTGTTGCAGATCAAAATGATGTATTCCCTCGCAACATATTCTGCAGAGTGGTATCATGTTGGGTTTCACAATGTGGATATTGTCAAGGTTTTCATTGTGGAGAAGCTGGCTGCAGGCTTGCTTGATTAATGTCCTTGACACTTGAGGTCTCCGCTTGCTTCACATTTTGGTATGCGCAGATCAAGTTTTGTATTGTGGAGAAGCTGACTTCTGGGTACCAAGTATGCCCTTTGATGACTTTTCACCTGTTTCTTGATTTCTGCTCAGATTTTGTAATTTGACTGGTTTTTGGAGTCACCACTGCTTTACATAAAAAGTTTCATGGTCAGTGGCATGCACTGAGATGAAAACCAGCACCACTGCTACAACAATCAAACACTTATGTAGATGTATCAGTCGACTTGTCTGCAATCAAGAGTATCAGGTCTTGAATATGATAAGGGAAGAACAAATTGTCATCAAAATAGACAGTATATTAGTTCTTGATCAATACATATGCAGCCTTTATCACTACATGCAAGGTGGTGACTAAGGCCTGCGCCCGGCCCGCAATTCACCGGGCGGGCCGGGCCGGGGCAAGCCCAAAAAGCCTCAAAAAGGTGTTTAGCCCAAGAGCGCTTTGCGCACCAGCCTGTCGACGGGCTGGCCCGGGCCAGAAATGAGTCAAAGGAGCCCTGATTTTTTTTCAGCACAATTCTTGTATATTTCAGGCTGAGAGAGAACAAAAGACAAGAAAATAAATGAGAAATGAGTCAAAGGAGCCCTGAATCGTTTTTTTTCAGCACAATTCATGCATATTTCAGCCTGAGAGAGACGAAAACACAAGAAAACAAAGGTAAAACAAATTTAAGGTGTTTTTTATGTTTTGATGGAGTTGAAAGATGGAAGAAAAAACTCAAGCGCTTTTTTGTAAGAGTGAAATAAAGACAAGTTGTCCCAGCTTTTGAGGCAAATCAATGCCTCAAAATCCAATGGATTCAGAGTATCCCGTTCATCTGTCCAGACTCTCCCACCAGCAGAGAATGATTTTTCAGAGGGTTTAGAGGTAGCAGGAATAGACAAGTATGCCAAAGCCATTCAAGCAAGAGTAGGAAATTCACCCGCGTGAAGACCCCAATATTCTAAAGGATCAACACTTTTGTCTGCGCGTCCACTGGATAAGTACATCTCAACTTCTTCTTCAACAGTGAGATTTTTTTACAAGTGATGAAACAACGTGGCCCATCTTCTTCGGGTTCTGATTCAGCGTTATCAACATTTTCTGGTTGTCCTCGATGAAAAGTTGCAACCTCCCTGGTAAATTTGGATCACAGTTCCTCTCGGTTGTACAGGCCAGCCATCTCAATTGTTAATGTTGACAGTTCAAGGAGTTCACTTTGGGGATCAAGGATGTTTGCAAATAGATAAACGGGTTTTTGGAGTGCAGATTGATGGTATTGTTGGAGCTTGATTCTCATTGGTCCTATGGCTGCTCAAAGCGGTTCGTTTGCATTGCCTTGCCAGGCCTGTGGAGCACGAGAATTTGATAAGAAGATATGTAAGTGATTTTTAAAGACTTATGGGAATTGTTTGGAAACATACCTTGTCCAACTTTTCTAAAATCCATTGATACACTGGTGTGGCATTGGCAGTTGTTGGGTATTGGGAACCTGATAGTATCTTTGTAGTGGTGTTAAGCGGTGTGAGAAATTCAACAAGATGGGCGACCAAATCCCATTCACTTTTGGTAAGTGAAAACTTTGCATATTCACGATCATTTTTGGGGCAATAATCAATTGCAGCCTTGAGTTGATAAGATCTCTCATGAGCTTCACAATCAGAGTTCCAGTGTGTGTCTACCCGTCTGATAAGTCAAACATGATCCTTTTCTGGGAGCATACCCTTAACAAGGAGCATAAAAGACTCCACACGTTGTGGAGAAGCCTCGACATAGTTGGTAAAGCCAATCAGGCGAGTTAGAGCGCTGGAGATTTGTTCGGTGTCTTGATGTAGCCAAGCAGCAAGCGTAGGAGGTAATGAAGGATTTTTGTTGCCTAGTTTCTCGGAGAACACATGAAGTCCAGCTTTAGCGACGAGGTTAATGACATGCGCTATACATCCAAGGAGGTGTTTGTAAGCATGTAATTGTGGGACTACTTCTTCCACTTTTCTTCCCATGACAGAATTGTCAGACGCGTTATCAGCAGTGATGCAAAAGAGTTTATTGATTAAATCGTATGTCCTCAACGTTTCGAGCAAGTGTTCACCAAGATTTTCCCCAGTATGAGGACCGTTGATCAACTTCATTCCGATGATAGCCTTGCACAACTTGAAGTCTTTTGATATCCAATGAGCTGTGACTCCAAGAATCGATTTGTTATGTTGACTCCATCCATCACAAGTGAAATCGACGTGAGTAACATCCTTGAGGTGATGAGTAAGTAAGCGTTGACCTTTGATAAACTGAGCCTTGAGGGTATTGGTAAAGGTAGTATGACCAAAGAAGTAAGGCTTGATGTTTGGATTGACTAGCATAAACGCATTCCGTAGATCCTCAGATTCGACTAACAAGAAAGGAAGCTCTTCATTGACAATGAGGCGTAAGATAGCGGACCGGAAGGATGAATTTGAGAGCTTCTCACTCTTTTGAAGTAGAAAAGAAGAAGCAGGAAATCAGACATGAAATGAAAGTATCTACTAAGGTTTGAGGTACTTACTGGAGCAATCCGACCAGTCGTGAGGAACTTGTTCATGTCAACTGCTCCTTTTTCAACATGCAATTCTTTATCCAGGCCGTGCTTGAGAAGGTGTCGACTCATTGATTTTGTACTTTGAGACGCATCAACTTTATACCTCTTTCCACACTCCTTTTCAGGCTCGAGTTGGTAGGTGCAAATGGTCCTCTTCTCGTCTTTGTTGGTGATTGGATCGACAACTGTTTGAGTCTTAAAATATCTCCACACCCACGATGTTTTGCTCCCTGTCAGCCCTGAGTACATATACATGTACCCAAAACTAACCTGTAACAGTAAAAAACATATGTATAAGATTAACTACATGTTACATACTAAGCATAGACTGTATGTAACATGTAATACAATGTATCAAAACCTTTATTACATATACATGAACCTATAAAACAACATGTAATATGTAACAAAACACCTTTTACACCTCATAACTCAGTGTCAAGAGTTAAATGCTTATATTACATACCACACATAAGATGTATATGTAATTAAGCATTACTAGTAACAATCATTACTACATGTCAATAACTAACCCTGAACCAATGTAGTGATAATAACAAATATCACTACAGTTAGGTTTAGAGAGGAGAGTATATAAACCCCTCCTCTCTCAGCCTTCAGAGAATCCCCAAAGAAATAATTACCCACTACTTTTAAAGAACAATTAAAGTTCAATTGAAGTAAAAATCAAGAGTCTTATATAAATAAGACTAGTGATAAGCTTCATCAACTTTAATCAGCTTCCTGATTAAAAGTAGGTAATACAATTCTTCACTCCCCCCTGGATCCTCTACTTCCCCCAAGTGGAAACCCAATCAAGGCTAGTGACCTTCAACAACTCCAGGCTAGTGACCTTAAGAAGAACTTCAGGCTGGTGACCTTAAGAATAACCCCAAGTTGGTGACTTTAAGGACAACCAGATTGGTGAACTAAATCACTCTTTGATCTGTTACTATAAGGATTAAAGGAAGGTCTTGGATCCAACCTTCTATTATAATAATACTCATTTATTATAAACTATAACACTCCTCTTTAGGAGTCAATTAACTGAAGTCTGTCTGGATTTATCCAAACAGACCAGTCCCTTTTCACCTTCCTATTCTCTTTCTATATTTCTAGTTGTACTTACATTATGTTTGAAATATAATTAATCAATTACAAACTATAAACCCCTACATAGCCCAACTTAGTGAGCCTTGAGTACTCCTCTGAGCACCCAACCCTCACACTCCCGGATCTAGAGTTGATTCAATTAGTTAGGTTGGGGCGAGTAGGGCTGGTTGATTGTACATTGACACTGATACACGGATGTGAGGTATTGGAATCTACGTCAGATAGAACAATTGTCACTTGCGATCCCAAAGTAGTTTCTTTTGGTGAGGAGAGACAAGCTTGCTTGGTTTTTGAGCGGGGTAGAGGGCTGGTGTTTTTCTTCTTTTTTGTTGGCATTTTAACTATAAATGGTATGATATCCCAATAAAGTGTATAATACAATCAAGATGATAGAGCGGTGATACTCTCCCTCGCCCTGAAAAAAGGAAAAATGTATTATTATTCCTTTTTTTTTCAAAAAAAAAAATTCAACAAAAATACCGGGCCGCCCAAGGCCTGCCCGCTCTTCCCGCGGGCAACGTGCGGGCCGGGAAAAGCCTGGCCTGGCCTGGCCAGGTGCAGGCCATAGTGGTGACGCCGCGGGTGCGGGGTTGCGCTGACCCCAGATTGACCCCCCGCTTTTGCAAGGCCCCCCCTTAGGTTTTGTGCGGCGTCACCGCGGCCCCGCATCCGCGGGGTCAGCACTTTGCATGTAGTGTATGTGATCATCATGTTAAAGTTTTCATATCATTTCTGTAATAATTGACATATCACATAATTGACACTTAAGTTTATGTTTAATATTTC